GTGTAGGGGCCGGAAGAATTACCAAGACTATTTGGGGGGCTCCTTCATATAATTATAGTGTCATGGGCCCAAAATCCGATTCTAACTATCAAGGCCACTACATTAATTTGAAGTAGGGTTTATAAGTAGGATAACTATAGCTATAACCCATATCAGGCGACATAGCCCCACTTATAACTACCCATGAACCTCCAAGTACATGTCTAAGTACCTCACCCACCCCTGCCGCGAAGACTCCAAAAAGCCTAAATAAAGCCTTGAGTGAAGCCTGAAAGCTCTAAACACGGTTCAGGGTGTAGGGTTTAGGCCCTAAGCCCTAAACCCTAAACCCTCAACCCTCAACCCTAAACCCTAAACCCTGAACCCTAAACCCTAAACCCTGACCCTAGAGCCCGAAATCAGGAGTCTGGGTCGGACACAGAGGAGGAGCTGAGCGAGAGCGACACGAGCAGCGAGGAGATTTCGAAACAGACCTTCAGAGTCTCTCGGTAGGCCACATTTGGGTAGTTGTCACAATTACGGTCCCTTTTTGGGTCCTTATCATAATACGGCACCTACTATTTAGGTCTAAGTTCAGTATAGTCTCTAGGTAGGCCACATTTGGGAGATTCCGAAAACTTAGGGTTTAGGGTTTAGGGCTTAGAGTTTAGGGTTTACTTAGAAATATTTTTTAATCTTTGGCTACTATTAACCCTAAGAAGCAGCTAAAATTCTAATTTCTGCTATGGGTCTAAGTTCAGTATAGGTAGGCCACATTTGGGTAGTTGTCAAAAGTACGGTCCCTTTTTGGGTCCTTATTATAATACCGCACCTATTATTTAGGGTACCCCAAAAGGGACCATAATTTTGACAACTTCTCATTTGGATTTTGTTGAGGCATTCCAAAAACAAGGGGTACTGTACTTTGGGGGTCCTTGTAAATAAGGATCCTACTATTTAGGGTACTATTTTAGGGTCCCCTATTTTCGGAAGCCCACATTTGGATTTTGTTGATGCTTTTCCTTACTGGATTGTAGTAGGCGATCTTAATGAACCCTAAACCCTAAACCCCAAACCCCCTAAACCCTAAACCCTAAACCCTAAACCCTAAACCCTAAGCCCTAAGCCCTAAACCCCTATAGATCCCTTTAAAGGAACCCTTATAGATCCCTTTAAAGGAACCCTAAGCCCTAAACCCTAAACCGTTTTTCCGGGCATGCCTAGGTTTGGCACTCTGCAGTGACCGGGCTTCTCTTCACGACCTACAACTTCCTGGGGTATAGCGGTGCCCGGAGGTTAAAATTAGGGTTTAGGGTTTAGGGTTTAGGGATTAGGGTTTAGGGTTTAGGGTTTAGGGTTTAGGGTTTAGGGTATAGCGGTGCTCGGAGGTTAAAACCATGGGCCCCTGCTATGCGTCCTTAACCCTGGGATCCTTATACACCTACTTTTGTACCCTATATGTACTCCTAAATATCCCTAGAAAGGCCTAAGGGTCCATATCCAAACCCTAAACCCTAAACCCTAAACCCCCATACTTCTAAGCTTCGAGGTGCTCGTGGACATCTCGTGTCCGGCCCTCTCATCCTCCTGCTACTCGGGTTCCCCTGTAGTACCCTTTTGCCCTTTTTCTTTTTCTTTTTGGGTTTAGGGTTTAGGGTTTAGGGTTTAGGGTTTAGGGTTTAGGGTTTAGGGTTTAGGGTTTAGGACCAAATAGTAGGAAAAGGGGTAGCTTTATTATTAAGGGGCTACCGGGGAACCTAGGCTACAGCAGACGGTCATCCCACTGACCATGCTGTTCTCGGTATGCTTCCTTGGCCGTCGTTACTTCGGCACTCACTTTCTGAGCTGCGCCTTCATTGTTGCTGGTATCCTGGCATCCTTTGTTGGCAAGGCAGGGGCATGGAAACTGGCCCACTTCAGGGCTTTAAAACAAACAGCGGAATGAGGATAGTTGCTTTGAGCTAACACGTATGTTTGGCGCCTACCAGCCCTAAACCCGAAGCCCTAAACCCTAAACTCTAAAACCCTAAAACCCTAAGCCGTGTTCTGAATGAGTCCCGAGTCTGCCCTGCAACCCTAAACCCTAAACCCTAAACCTCAAAGCTGCAAGGAGTGGACCGCAAAGTCCATCGGTGCTGTCTGCCTGCTCTTGGCGCAAGCGTTTCCAGGGGCTCTGTCCACCGTGTTGCTTAGTCTAAGCTTAGGGTTCAGGGTTTAGGGTTCAGGGTTTAGGGTTTAGGGCTTAGGGTTTAGGGTTTAGGGTTTAGGGTTGAGGGTTTAGGGTGATATCCACAGGGAGAACTTTAAATTCGGCCTTATCTAGACCGAGAGTCTGAGTTCGTTTCAACACAGAGAGTATCCCTCTCTCTCTCTCTATATATATATATATATGTACATACATATACCTACATATTTGATCTATTTGTTTGGGCCCGGCTATTGAAGAGAGGTTCATGGAATACAACTTGCAAAGATCCCACGTCTCTTTCTGGAAGCTCTGGACCTTGATCAACATTTGGGAAGTCGTCGCTTTGCCACCGGTTTGGGTGGCCTCCGTGCCCCTGCAGGGCCTCACCTTTGCGCAGTCACCAAAGAACCTTAGGGGCACTTGGAAACAATAATTTTTAATCTTTGGCTACTATTAACCCTAAGAAGCAGCTAAAATTATAATTTTTGCTATGGGTCTAACCCTAAACCCTAAACCCTAAACCCTAAACCCTAAGTTCAGCATAGGAATCTTCTGGACGGCTTCCAGTGTCTCTTTGTGGGTCGGGGTAGCGTGGAGGGCGCGGATGATGAAGAGTGCGCGACCCTGGCATACTTGTACCCCATCTTCGTGGTTGCACTCATCGCTGTGACTGGGCTTTGGAGTACCATACTTTAACACTTTTTGGGGGGACCTGTTCCTTAAAGGAACCATTATGAAATACAAGTCTATACTTTTTTCTCCCTGGTTACTTCAAAGCCCAGGTGAAGACTTTGCAGGCAGTGGTCATTGCCAAGTTTTCGTCCGGCTTGCTCTGGGTAGTTGCAGCTGCAGCCGTTCCCTTGGCCTCGCAGGCATCAGCCGGGATGCGCAGGGTGGGTTTCGGGCTCAGGACTTGGGGCTCAGGGTTTAGGGGTTTTGGGTTTCAGGGTTTATAGGGCCATAGGAACCAATCCCTCTGAACTTCACCCCCCCACACCACCCCCCAAATCCGAGCCATGGCGCAGGCTTTCACTGTGGTTTGGATCATGGGCCCTCCAAACGTACAGCCACCCCTCTCTGCCTGGAGTCTGGGTCATGCTAAGTTCACGCGCATCCGCATGTTGTCGTTGTTTTTGTTGTCGCAAAGGCTCCATGTACCTTTATAGTTGATACTTAGGCCTTAAAGTACCTATATAGGGACCCCTTTAAGGCTTAAGTATCTACTATAAAGGTAGTGTTTGTCTTACTGATTACACAAAGTTGAGGATTTGGCTTGGCACTGCACTCGTGGTCGCTGGCATGGTCTTATTCCGTGTGAAGGAGGCAGTGAAGTGAGGTTGGCACGAACTTGGAGCGACCAGAAGTGGAGTCCTGGATCAGCTACACACAGGCACAGCTTAGCGCACAGATCTGTTGCAGTGCTGCTGCTACAGGTTTTCAAAAAGGAAAAGCATATCCATGGGTGCCGATGGCCGTGCCTTACCCTTCTAATGCTTCTTTCGCTTCCTTTAGTATGTCAATGCGTCCAGCAGCATCCGGGTACCTAGGTTGTGTAGTGTTTTTCCTGAGTCCAGTTGATGTCAACACCAGCAACGATGTCAGGTTACAGGTACAACATGCCACAATGTGTGGAAGGAGGCGGCCAAATGTAAATGTCCTTCGTCAGACAGACACAGTATGATATAGCGGCCAGCGTCAGGGTTTAGCCCACACGGTGTCCACTAGCAATACTGGATCCTGGTAGGCTTGAGGGTCTGTAAGGCTTCGAAGAACCTCATCCCTACTTCCGAACGGATCGAATTAGCTTGATCATTGTAGGTACCGGACTTTCTCACGCACTTTGCTTTGCAGGCTTAGCTTTGCTCGTACGTCCACGTGAAGCTGGTATAGGGTTTAGGGTATGCAGTGGTGTATAGGTTCAGCGGTTTAATTTATATTGAAGCATACGCATATCCTCGCGATACTAAGGGGTTGTTTGATGCTGTACTTGCTTTCAAGGTATCATGCCCATCATGACATTCGTTGTCCAGAAACCGTGAACCCGAGGAATCACAATCATGTTCCCAAACCATGCCAGTATATGTCGGGTTTTGAAACCATGGGCCCCTAGTATGGGCCCTTAACCCTGGAATCCTTGTACATCTACTATATACCCTATATGTACCCTTAAGGGTCCCTAGAAAGGCCTAAGGGTCCATATTAGGGGCCATACTGCTAACGTTAGAATATGGTCTGAATCTACTACAGTCGACCCCCTCCCCCCACGCAGTTCTCACTAGTCTAATTCTAACGTTAACGACGCCGAAGCCTCTGCACCACATCCTCTATCATGCCCGGCGGGAACTTCGAAAAAGGAGGTCCTTTAAGAGCCCTAAACCCTAAACCCTAGACCCGAAACACATCAAACCCTAAGCCCTAAATCCTAAGCCTCCTGTGCTCCCCAAGGGCCCCTGTGTCCGGCTTTCCGCCCTGAACTCCTAATGTAGGGGCCTTAATAGTTAGAATAGGGTCTTTGGGTTTTTTTTTGTAGTATACATACAATAAGGAACCGCCAAAAATAACATAGGTAATTATTAAGGCTCCTATATTACCCTCAGACCTCAAGCAGCCCTAAGCAGGTACATGTTGATAGACTCTGGACCCCGAAGTAGGTAGGGCTCCTAGGAACGATAAACCCTAAACCAGCTTTGAAACGTGCCAAAATCCTAAACCCTAAAACCCTAAACCCTAAACCCGAAACCCGAAAATCTGAAACCCAAAACCTTAAAACCCTGAACCTAAAGCCCAAAACCTTAAACTCTAAAGCCAAAACCCTCAACCCGAAAAGCCCCAGGTTCGGGGAGCTTACTGGCGTGATGCTCGCGGACACAAAGCGCTTTGTCCGGAGTTACAGAGTTACAGGGGCGATCGGGTGATAGGGCTTACAGGGTGTATGGGTTTCTAGGGCTTATGGGGCTTACAGGGCGTATATAGGGTTCATAAAGCTGCGGATCTAGGAAAAAGACCCTTAAAGGGACTCTTTACAGGGACCCTTAAAAGGGACCCTTGCAGGGCCCTTCAGGGTTTCGGGTTCCATGAGAGGGGTTCCCTTTCAAGGCTTGCGGGTTCTACGAGAGGGGTTCCCTTTTAAGGGTTTCGGTTTAGGGTTTAGGGTTTAGGGTTTAGGGTTTAGGTTCATGAGAGAGTATCCCTTTGAAGATTCCTATAAGGGTTCTCCAAGGGTGTAACAAGTTTAGGCAGCTGGAAGTTTCAGCTACCGAGGGGGCCTTAATGTAGACCTTGAACGACAAGACCCCTTCTTCTAAAGACCCGTACAAGGGAAGTCCTACCGCTTACGTGTACAGGTATACATACGTACATGCATGTACACACTTCATTTATATCTATATAGAAAAAGGAGGTAGTTGTATATGTATATACGCATCGAATGCCAACATGTATTTGGATGTGCGCACGTGTAAAATCCAAACATCATTCATTAGAAAGCAAAACGGGTAAGAATAACATTGAGAAGAGCCAGAACAACCAGCAAGCTAGTGCAACACATATACATAATCGATTCCCCCTTTTATTAAACACCCCCCCCATAATAATAAAAACACATTGGGCCCAATCCTCCCGAAATCATCCCTGCCCTTTAAAACCTATTCTGGAGTAGGGGGAGGAGGGTTTCGAGGCTCTAAATACCCTGAGAGCACAGCAAGAGCAAGAGCAGGAGCAAGAGCAAAACCCGGAGCATCAACAAGAGCAGCAGCAAGAGCAACGCAAAAGCACGAACGGGAGCAAGAGCGAGAGTCGGAGCAAAAGCGGCAGCAACAGCAAGAGGGCAAGAGACGCAGCAGAAGCAGGAGCAAAAGCCAGCGCGGGAGCAAGAGCCAGAGCAGGAGCAAGAGCACGTCCCCTCACGAGTGGCAGTAGAGACAAGAATACCCCCTAATGATAAAACGCTTTCCGAGTATCTATTGGGGTGAAGGGAGGGGGCCCCCGTTGAATATTGGGGGAAAGGATTAAGTACATATGTATGTATGTATGTATGTATGTATGTATGTATGTATGTATGTATGTATGTATGTATATATGTATATATGTATATACATGTGTATATATATATATACTGCATCAATATGTACATTTACTTTTAAAGAAGAGGACTTCGGATCCGCGTCTTCGGCTCGAAGGGCGACCCGGGTGTGCAGAGGAGCAGTGCATCCGTGCAGTGCAAGGGCAGGCACGGCTTCACTGCCGAGCAGGTGGCCATGAAGGTCCTCCAAAAAGACCTCAGAAATGCGGCCCGTCAAGACGTGAACGATGAGGAGATTCATCGACGAGTGGTGCGAGAAGACCTCCCCAAATCAGAAGACTGTGTCGTGGCACATTTGCCAAGGCGCACAACTCCATCTGTGAACAAGGCTTGCTGGCAGGAGGTCCCAGGGGCAACAGACTGGATGTTCACCTGGCTGCAGAAAACTCAGGGAAGGCCGATCTCAGGGATGAGAACTGCTTCCCGCATTGTGCTGATGATCCTTGCCAAGAGAGAGAGAGAGAGAGAGA